ATATATATATATTCACATGGCATTTTGGGGTTAAAATGAAAGTAAATTATTATCTTGGTAAGGGGTCCCCAGATCCAAAATGTCTGAGAACCCCTGGTTTATAGCATGTGAGAGTACTACAAAATTTTAAAGGTCAGTGTACAGGTAAAAATCTGAAGTGGTTGACGTGTATATGATTGGTCTGTTTGACTTTTGTGGGAGGAGCTTGTTAAACACATGATTTGATTGACTATTCTGGGTGGGGCTTAAGAAGCCACAACACCTGGTGGCCAGAAACCACCTATAATTTTGAATATTTGAATTTGCTAGCTGCACGAAATTTCCSCACACTGAAGAGCTCCATCAATCACAGTTTTGCCAAACTCCGCCCACACAGAAAAGATCGGGGTCTGTAGACYAGACCGTCTCATTTCACTGCTGTTTGCAGCCGACACGAGCAGCCTACGGCCCACACAGACTGTGGCCAACACTGACTGCGGTCTTCGTCGGTTGAAAATCATGAATTGCTACAGCTACGCTCAGCCTCTTTCTCTTAAAGGAGCCACCGCACTCCTGACAGTAGGAAACACTCTTCACTGTTTGTTAGCAGCACATTTCAATGCAAAGCTATAAAACATGTTGGGTCCATCCAGATGCAATCAGGAGCCCRTACTGGAGTCTGCAAATGTTACCTTAAATGGTCAGACAAGCTTTTGTTTATGTTACAGAGGTGAGTCAGAAAAGTGCAGTGCAACAAAACAAAAGGCTATTTTCGGGTAAATGATGTGAATCAGGAAGACGTGAATAAAAAGAGCATCTAAAGGAGTTTTACATTAAAATTAAAACATTAGAAAATGCATTTTCTTCTTCTTTTGTCTGCTTCCTGTTCAAGGGTCAGAACATGGAGTCCTCCTCCATCTCACCTCCGTGTCCTCTGCATCTCTAACATCCTTCTGCCCCGTCCCTCCTCTGGACATGTCCAGACCATCTCTGTGGCCTCTCTGACTTTATCTGCCAGTCCTTCCACCGGCTCTGTAACTTATAACGTGTTATACTTACACACTGTCTTATTCATCATATAACCTGACAATATGATTGTTTTGTGACTACTACATCTGAAATGTAATTAATTGTTAGTTTTGTTCTCATTATTCYGTTTTGTGCAGTAAGTCAGGAAGGATTAGGCTGTCCTTCCCTTCCTTTTCCCTCCTGTGAGGTCTCCTCCCACCTCGCTGGGACCGATTCTTCTGCTCACGCTCCTCTCTGTAAACACAACTCAACCAGTTTACATAGTTTCCTCCTGCTTGGTTTGAAAAATGTTGAAGCACATAACCTGTCCTGTAGCTCTGCTGATGATTTCTTTGCAATAACATCATTTATTTGGTGGATGATCCTCTGGCAGGTCTGTAAATTTGGAGCTTTACTCATCAGCAGATTGCAGTTAGATGCAGCTGCCATGATGTTCTTAGAACTCAGAGGAGTTCGTTTTTTATGTCCTGCAGAATAAAGCAGCTAAAACATGCTCATGCTAGAGCAGCAGCATGTTTACATCACACAGTGTGGATACGCAAGGTTTGTGTCATCCTTTCGGAGGCGTCTCTCTCGGGGGGAGGATGTTGATCTTGTGGTTTTCRTGCAGCTCGTCTGCTGCTGGGAGACACTCCTTGGAGCTTTGGGACCAATAAATTTCTCTGCCTCAGATTCTTATGTTTTCTTTAAAGAGTGTGCGTCTCTCTTCAATCAGAGCTGTGCCTCGGGGCTCACAATGTGGGACTAGTGCAGGCCTGGGGAGCAGGAGTCAGCAAGCACGGCTCCGGGGCTCATAAATACGAGGAAAGAGGCTTGCATTCCTCTGCTGGCAGTTTGCCATCATTCTTTCCACCTCTTCCTCCTCCTCCAGTGTGAAGTTTTGTTTTAATGCTCTGCCTGTCTCCCTCTCTCCTTTCATCACGCCTGTTAAACCTCTCTAAAGTCCAGATTAATGGACAGGAGTCTCCCCGAAGAAGGAGGATGGTGCAAACTGTCAAAATCCCTTTTCTGTGTGTGAAACAAGAAGACAACTAATCCCTCTGGTTTTGTACATCAACTGTTTCGTGATGTCTTGTTTGCTCGGCGTCTGCCTCCCTCAGATTAGCCACGGTTAATCTGAGCGTTATGAAACTGGATCAGGTCCCTGACAAAAACCCAAACCAGAAGAGACAACGCAGAATTGTTGATTGAATCAGGGACCCTCTGTGATATTTCACCACCAGTCGAGCCCCCCCMCCCCCCCACCCCACAGTCTGATTGTGACTCAGCTGTTAGTCATCGGATAATCCTGTTTGCTTTTCTTGTAAGAGCGCTGCGGTCTGTGGGGATCTGCTGATGTTGGGTGTCGGCTGGTAATCCAGGAAGCCTCAGCAGAGGGTTGTGACACTTTAACAACGCTCCTGTCAGACCTGAATTTATACTCACCAGGCTGAACATTTACTTAATTTAATATGAAAACAGTTTTGTTTCAAAGGTAAACTTTAAATTTATGATTCAATAACAAAATAAACACGTTTAAAAGACGAATGAAAATACTTGTCCGGCCCCTGAGTTGTTGGCTTTGAGTAACTGTGGCCCGTAAGCTGCTTTAAAGCCAACATTGACCATAAACTACATCTCCCATAATGCATTTCGATCCTGCATGAGAATTAACTGTTTGAGAGTTCAGAATTCCACACTCACTACTTTTACTTATAATAGTATTTCTGTTTTATTTATTTCACATTTAGTCAGTCGTATTTTCAGTGTTTATAACAGGATGTGTTAAAACGCTGTTTCTACGCAGGAAACACCAGGTAGAGCTCAGTTGCTGTTTGTTAGCGGCGCTCAGCTGCAGTAATGAGATGAGAACCGTTTTGTGTTTAGTTGAATTCAAACATGAAACATCAAAGTTAATTATAACTGGCCCTTTAAGGGCCACCATAACCCTCATGTGACCCTCTGTAAAAATTAATTTGAGAGCCTTTAATTTAAGAATGTAGCTGTTGTAACAATAAAAATAAGAGTTTTTCAGAACTGAGTTGATGAGGATAAATGTCTGTTTTCGAGTAACTAAGATTCTTTGAAGATATGTTAGAAAATAATTATGCTTCAAGTTTGTTCAAACTCAAGGCCTGCGGGCCRAATCTGGTCCTTGTTAACGTTTTTTCCGGCCCCAAAGGTAATATTTTAAACATGAAACAGTTTTTTGGTTTCTCTCTCACAGTTTTCTCATGACAGATGGCCTGTTTTCAAGCCAAGAAAAATAAAACATTTGATTTTTTTTCTGTAATCTTTAATTTTAATGTGGAAAGAGCAACAGAGAATCAACTTTAAATATATTTTTCTGTATTCTTTACTTATTTTAACGTCTTTTTAAATCAGATTTACTGGATTATGATAAATCACTAAGATATAATAATTAAAAACAAATTCCTTCTGAATTTAATCTTTCTTTATCGGTTTGTTTATGGCCTAAATGCTACACAAAACATTCGGAAAAGGTCATTTGTGTTTCTACAAAATTAATGGGTCAACAACAAATTTTTCAATAARTATTGGCAGAAACTGGMCCTTGGCTTGGACCAAGTTTTAAATTGTGACACCCCTGGATTACATTATTCAAACAAAAGGATAGGAGAATGTTTTTCAAATTAAAAGTCTAGCAGCCTCTGAAGGAATTCACATCACCCAGTATCCATGTTGTTTTAAACTAAGCTGCTGAGAAATTACCTTAAAAATAATCTGTTAGATGTCAGAATATTGCGAGGTGCAGTTCGATGYGATAGCCTTCAGTGTGTGTTGTGTATGACCCTCAGCTACTACCACAGCAAATTCTAGCTCAATATCTGTAAAACTGACTGAGTTTTGGCCTGTTTTATGTTGCTAAGGTTGATTATCTGTTGCAGCCATCTTGAATAGAGTGATYCTAAAACCTAACCTGGTAAAGTTTGTCCTTTGTTTACTTTCTGAAGGCTTCGTTCAAATTTGTTCTCTGACTCATAAGATATTTTGCTGACAGACGTGTAAATGCACATGCAAAATAAAGCATTATAGATGCCTGGATGAAAATTACAACCTCAACACTTTACTCCTAACTGGTAATTACACTACTGCACAATCTGCGATCACACCCAGAGGTGCTCCTGTTGTTGCAGGCAGCGTGTTATTTTAAGACACACTGGTTCAGAAATGCTTAACTAATAAAACCACACACACACATGTGATATCACCATTATTTCTGAGGATSTTATTCCCCAAAAACTCTTATCTGGTGTAATAAACACATGTATTAAGTAATAACACACACAATCAGTGCTGAGTCACTGTCCAGTTGAGCAATTCATATTTCACACATTTGTTTGCCTAGCCTCACCAAAGGCAGGTGGTTTGAGCCCAGGGTGCGTCAAAAAGCATAAAACAATTTCCAAATCTGAGCAGCTGAGGAGTAAAACAACAGTTTGCCTATGATTTAATGAGAGTATAAAAATATAAAAACCGTCAGGATGAGACGGGCAGATGGACCGGCACATGCGAGAGCCCCAAAATATCGGGTGGTGGCTCTTTGAAGGAAGAAATGGAGAAAGATCAACGAGCAGCTGAAACCCACCAGCCTCCCCGTCGCTACAGAAATGAGGAGGGAGAGAATGAGATGAGTCAGAGAGCAATTTATTCTGTGACTGCAGCTCTGAGGCTCAGCGGTGCCGGAGAACTGAATTAAATCTAATTATCTCCTGACAAAATTAATTTAAAACAAAGAGCAGAAACTCTTACTGAGGAAAATGATTTTTTTTTTTCAGATAAAGGAAAGTGTAGCTGTGGGTTCTGCCAGTGCGACGCCGGCTGGCAAGGTGAGAGCTGTAACTGCTCCACCCGGACCGACACCTGCATGTCCGGCATCGGGCTGCTGTGCAGCGGCAGGGGGAACTGCGAGTGTGGCGTCTGTCAGTGCACCCAGACCGGCGCCTACGGAGACACCTGTGAAAAATGCCCCACCTGCCCCGACTCCTGCACCATCAAAAAGTAAGAAGAGCGTTAGTTTTTTTATTTTTACATTCTCAGATTCAATCAATAACATTTAAACCAAACAGGTTAACTTGATTCAGTGTTTTAAAGCTTCAGATTTTTAAAGTGAGATCTTCTGGTGAAGGTGTGAACAATAACAATCTTACCTCCAGCACATGGCATTCTGAAGACCTTCCATTGGAAGAAAAAAGATTGTTTTATTGGTTTGATGATGTAACACAGATGTAATAATGTCTTTAAAATAAGCATAGCCTGCTTTAAAGCCAGTATTGATCATAAACTACATTTCCCATAATGCATGCTGATTATTTTACGGACAAAACGATGTTCCATTACTAGTTGGAGGTGCAGGGCGTTCAAAAGTTGCCAACATTTTTCGCCATGTAAAATCTCCGTTTTGCKTMACTTTCAYCAGCTACTTTTGCTGCAGCCCAGTTGTACTGGGAAGTGGGAATTTACCACCTAAAAGTCGTAAATTTAAACTGGAATGCCCTTCAAGTGGGAATTCCCAGTCAGGAAGTGGAAGAGTTCTGAATACAAGATGGCGGCTACTCACCACAACTCATCACTGAGTAGAACTCTCTTACTTTTACTTTTAATAGTATTTCTGTATTATTTATTTCATATTTAGTCAGTTGTACATGTAGTACTTTTCAATGTTTCTAAGAGGATGTGTGAAAACACTGTTTCTATTCAGGAAATACCAGGTAGAGCTCAGTTATTGTTTGTTAGCAGTGCTCAGTCGTAGCAACAAAATGAAAAACTTGATATTAAATTTAATTACATCTGGTCTTTGAGGGCAACTGTATTGTTCATGTGGTCCTAAGTGAAATTTAATTTGACACCTCTGATCTAAAGGATCGTTTTAGTGAAGCCAAGACTGATTTGGATCACAGACAAGACATTGACTACATAYCTCTAGAACTCATAATTCAGTCATTGATATTGGATTATCCATTAACTTGTCAATCCAATAAAAAAAAAAAATTCTATTTCACCAAACTGAGGTTGTTCAAAGAGCTATCTACAACAGGTAAGATAATAATTGTTCATAATCTTTAGGGGAAAAAACACTTCAGAAGATTTAACGTATCCCTTGAAGTTACTCATCATATTGCTTCAAGTAAATTAAAAAAGGWAAACAACAAAACCTGACATATTTGACCACAGGTCAAAATCTTGTAGAACAGCTAGAAAATGTCAGGTTTCCATATCTTAGATCTGATCAAACTAAACCCGAGTTGTGTAAACTGTGCGTAGATAAAAACTGGTTTGCTGTGCTTTGCAGGGAGTGTGTCGAGTGTCAGCACTTCAAGAGAGGACAGTACACCACAGACGACAGCTGCAGCAGAATCTGCAAAACTGAAATACAAGTAGTGGGTGAACTGGGTGAGAACCTCTCTCCTTCTTCCTCGTTTGATGCTGTTAAAGTAGTTTTACTAACTGAAGCCACGTTTTGAAGAGAACCTGCCGCTCTGCTTCTCCTTCCCACAGCTTCTCACGGAGAACACGCAGTGAACTGCTCCTACAAAGATGAGAACGACTGCATCGTGCACTTCCAGTACTACGAAGACACCAGTGGCAAATCCATCCTGTATGTGGTGAAAGAACCAGGTACTGTGGGTGTTTATTTGAACGTTGAAGGTGCAGCATCAGGGCTGAAAACAGGGTTCTCAAACGCAGTGGTGGGCAGCGCTAATCCAAAAATTAGCTCCGCAATTTCTAAAGCGCTTATGAAAATATTTAGGTCCGCAACTTCAAAAGCAATTATGCCATTGACAAACTAGCGGAAGCTAATTTTAAAGCGCAAGTTCAATTTGACACTTACTAGCCGGCAACAATTCATTTACAATATATGTACAACACTGCCAATTAGCGGTGYATGAACTCTTTTATAACTTAATTCTACAACCGCTGATTGCTGGGGATGTGATTTCCTTAAACAGATCTTTAGCTCCTGGTGTAAAAATTAAAACGTTGTTGAGGATTGCTAGTTCGGCTGCTTCTTTAAAAATTTGTTGAGGATTGCTAGTTTGGCTGCTTCTTTAAAAAGTTGTTGAGGATTGCTAGTTCGGCTGCTTCTTTAAAAAGTTGTTGAGGATTGCTAGTTTGGCTGCTTCTTTAAAAAGTTGTTGAGGATTGCTAGTTTGGCAGCTTCTTTAAAAAGTTGTTGAGGATTGCTAGTTCGACAGCTACTTTAAAAAGTTGTTGAGGATTGCTAGTTTGGCTGCGTCTTTAAAAAGTTGTTGAGGATTGCTAGTTCGGCTGATTCTTTAAAAAG